AGACATCGACGAAAACAATGACCGCAGTTTCGTTGCAACCTCCCCCCCCCGCTGCTGCGGAGGCCGGTGCTGGATCTGCCATTCCATGCGGAACTGCATCAGGGGCCTCCTCTGGCAGCCCCCGCTGCTGCGGAGACTTCGGCAGAGGTTCCTGCGCGGCTCCAGTCGCGCCAGGCTGCTCCATGCCCTGGGCCGCTCCCGTCGCGGAGGCGGGCGGGCGCGGCGGGGGGCAGACCTGCAACGGCTGCGGATTCACTTTATCGCAATGCCATCCCTCCCTGCGCTCAAATGACTTTTCCCCTTGCGCCACTCTGCTGCTCCCACTTCTGAACTACCTCATCCCTTCTACCTCTGCCTGCTCCCTCCTCTTCCTGTTCAGTCCTCCCTCCTCCCTCCACCGCGCTCATTTCTCCTTGCTCCCTTCTCTGCTCCTCCTACGTGGGGCGTTTCACGACAACGACGACGACGACGCCGACGAGAACGATGACCACGACGGCGACAACGAGGGCAACGACGACCACGACGACGACGACGAGGACGATGACCACGACGGCTACCAGCGACGACGACTAGCGACGACGACGATCGACGACGACGACGCCGACCACGACGACGACGGCGAGGACGACAACGAGCGACGACGACGACGACAACCGACGCCGACGAGGAACGACGACGACGAACGAGGACGACGATTACGACGACGAGATGACGAAGGATCGAAGATCGAACCTCGAAGTGCGAAGCTTCGAAATTCAAACTTCGATCTTCGAACTCCGAACTTCCAGCTTCTAACTGCGAACGTCGCTGGGGTGCCAGGGATGGACTGGGATGGAGGGAAAATGGGAAGGAAAAGCGAGGAAGCGGGAGAGGAAGTTGGAGGAGAACGAACAGGCGTGGAGCGACGAGGAACGGGCGGCGAGGGGCCGACGTTGAGGGCGGCGGGATGGGGGGACAGGGAGGAGAGGGGAGACTTCAAAACGAAAATCGCGCCACGGCGCCTGCACGCGCGCTCCCGATCTCGGCGGCCGACGCGCGCGCCCCTGCAGAAATGCAACGCGCCCTTAATTCGAGCCCCGCTGCTGCGGAGCCACCTACTCCACAACCAAATCGTCTGGGGAGCTGTTCGGACCCCAAACTACTAATTAGTTATTCAGCCACTCGGCTCTTGCGAGTCCGCCCTCATGACAAAGGGCAACCTTCACATGGGGACACTCAATGGGGTGTTGATTGAGAACGCCCCATGTGGCTGGTGGCAGGAACGGACGAGGGGGGGCGGATAGAGGAGCAGGACGAGCACTGGCAGGGGATATGCACCAGGAGAGAGATCTCATGGAGGAAGAGGAGGGGAGGGGACGAGAGCCACTCATAATTAAGCGCACGCAGGCCCACGCACGTGCTCCATTTCTCAGCGACCGCCGCGCCGCCATGAGAACTGTCGCACCACCGCCGCTAATGCGGCGGATGCGTGACCTCTCCCATCCCTGTCCTGCGCTGTTTCTGCTACCGCCCTCCCCCCTTCCAGCCAAGCTCGGGTTTCATGCTCGGAGACGGGCGCGGCTGGCGGCTCTTAGTGCGGGTGCGCGTGCTGCCTCCAACTCCTCATCCCCTCCTCCTCCTCTCCTCATCCCCCCTCCTCTTCCTCCTCGTCCTCCTCTATCGGCCCAGCTCCGATCGCCGCTCAGCTCTCCTGGTGCGGCTGGCGGCAAAAGTACCGAATATTGCCTGGGGTGTCCTTCACCTTCTTCTTCGACATCTCAAGCATCATCTTGCCCATCTCCTCGGCGCGGCGCGCCTCCTCCATCATCTGCCGCGCCTGGTCGACGAGCATCTGGCCCTTCACTCCAATGGCGCGTGCATGGCGGCAACGATTGCGCCACTGGAGAAACCGCACAACCATGGTCGCCCAGTGCCAAACACTGCCCTCCGTCGTGATGAGCTCGAAGTCATCGACGTCGTACTTGCCCGCGATGCTCGCCATGCCGGCGCAAAAACCGCGAAGGAGCCTCCTCTGGCAGTCCCCGCTGCTGCGGAGACTTCGGCAGAGGCCCCTGCGCGGCCCCAGTCGCGGAGGCGGGCGGGCGAGGCGGGAGGCAGACCTGCAACGGCTGCGGCTTCACTTTATCGCATTTCCATCCCTCCCTGCACTCACATGGCTTTTCCCATTGCGCCACTCTGCTGCTCCCACTTCTGAACTACCTCATCCCTTCTACCTCCATCTGTACCCTCCTCTTCCTGTTCAATCCTCCCTCCTCCCTCCACCGTGCTCATTTCTCCTTACTCCCTTCTCTGCTCCTCCTACGTGGGGCGTTTCACGACAACGACGACGACGATGACCACGACGGCGACAACGAGGGCGACGACGACCACGACGACGACGACGAGGACGATGACCACGACGGCGACCAGCGACGACGACTAGCGACGACAACGACCGACGACGACGACGCCGACCACGACGACGACGGCGACGACGACAACGAGCGACGACGACAACGACAATCGACGCCGACGAGAAACGACGACGACGAACGAGGACGACGATTGCGACGACGAGATGACGAAGGTTCGAAGATCGAACCTCGAAGTGCGAAGCTTCGAAATTCAAACTGCAACCTTCGAACTCCGAACTTCAAACTTCGAACTGCGAACTTCGCTGGGGTGCCAGGGATGCAATGGGATGGAGGGAAAAATGGGAAGGAGAGAACGAGGAAGCGGGAGAGGAAATTGGAGGAGAACGAACAGGCGTGGAGCGACGAGGAACGGGCGGCGAGGAGCCGACGTTGAGGGCGGCGGGATGGGGGGACAGGGAGGAGAGGGAAGACTTCTTACGAAGATCGCGCCACGGCGCCTGCACGAGCGCCCCCGATCTCGGCGGCCGACGCGCGCGCCCCTGCAGAAATGCAACGCGCCCTTCATTCGAGCCCCGCTGCTGCTGCGGAGCCATCTACTCCGAAACCAAATCGTCTGGGGAGTTATTCGGTCCCAAAACTACTGTTTGCCACCCGCTGCTGCGGACGCCGAGGGCCTGGTGCTGGACGCCGCGGCCCCGCTGCTGCGGGGCCCCTGAGAGGGCGTCGGCCTCCCCTTCTCTCTGGCGGCGTCGAACTTGACCTTACGCTCCACACCGAGGTCCTTGTACCAGCGAAAAGTTCCTGACCCGTCGCTCCCGCCCAAACCCGCGGTTGGTGGCCTCCCGTGTCCGCGTGGGGGACGAGGGGCAGAGCTTCGACCTTCCTGTCGCCCCAGTGCGGGTGTAAACGGAGGCCTGTCCCGTCGTCGCGGTGCAACACGAAATCCCACATCGGCAGCTTCACTTTCACCCGCTGCCCCGCGAACTGTCGCGCGCGCACAATACTCTGACGCATGTGGTCGTAGCTGTTTGGCCGGACTTCGAGGGAACAGCCGATCAGAGCCCCGCTGCTGCGGGGCCCCTCCACGACCTCCCTGATATCTTCCTCCCTGAGCGTCGCCACCATCTCTTGCCACCGCCAAGGGACTTCCTCGTCGCTTTTGAAACCAAAGCTCGTCCTCGCACCGTGGTCGCAAACAGCGACCATGGTGGGCTTCGCATTGTCAAACCACTTGGCTTCTGACTCGAACGGGGCAGTTGGGTCTTCATTCAGATGGCGCCACCATTTCAACGCTTGATTGTGTTGCTTAAACGAAGTGCCGAGCCTCTCTTCATAACTCAAAAAATAATTAACATCAAACTTCTCAAAATCCCGGGGCCCGCGCGCCGCCGCCGCTGCGGTGGCGCGGGGCTCCTGCGCCGCAGGCGCGGCTCGGGATCCCGACCCCTCTCCTGAAACTGTGTTCCCAAGTTCTGGTACGTTTCGGAGGGCAGCCCTCACGAAATTATCGAATTCGGGCTTGCCGAGACCAGGGGCGCGGGGGCTCACAACGCCAAGCGCGGCGAAGCGAGACGGCCGTTGAGACGAGACCGCCGCCGCTGCTGCGGCGGCAGGGCCATCGCGCCATTTGGCGTCCTCCGTTGGCGTGTGCCCGTCTTGTCGCCAGTCTCTCCAACCCCTCGCTGACCAATCATGGCCGTCCCCCCAGCCACGCCAGCCGCTGCTGCGGCTATCCCACCATCCCCCCGCGCCATCCCATGTGTATCCGCCTGCATCGCCCATTGCAAGACGATGGCGCAGGCGCGCGTTAGGCCGCGACGGGCCCAGCTGCACCGGTGCTCGCGGGCGATCCCACGGGCGCGGGGTGGTTTGAGCATAGCGGCGGCGGACGACGCGACGTGATTGGACGGCGGAGAACTTGAAAGGAAGGGGGGTTGGAAACGAATGAACGAAGTGGACGAAGAGCGGAAATCGAACCAGAGGGAGGCGAAAAAAGAGCGGAAAAGAATAAGGACATGCAGACGAAGGAGAGTGACGAGGTAGATGGCGGGCCAGAACGGCAACGGAGGATAATGTGGTGGAAATTGTGAAAAGGACGCATGGAACAACACGACGAGGATCACAGACGCAAAGATGATGAGCGCAGTGGTAGCATGACATATCCGAAATCAAGAAGCAGGATGAGGAGGAACGGGATGACGAGCAACTCTGTCGCAGAGAGCCTCCGAACGCACCCCCTCTGTCACAGAGGGCCTCCGAACGCACCCCCTCTGTCACAGAGGGGGTCCGAAAAACACCCCCTCTGTCACAGAGGGGGGAAATGATCACTTTAATGCGGCTTCTGGATTAGGGGGGGCGTTCTGCCGCGAGGCGCAGACCCCCCCCATAATCTGAAGGTCGCTGGGACACACAAATAAATAGACACAAATGAGAGGATTCACCGTATGTTCCCATATTTTGTGGATGCCACAAAGCTGGACACCCTAACTGTCCCATCATTGAATAAAGACTTGTTTAACATGTCGGAAAAATGTCCTGGAAATGTTTTGAACACGTTGTTTTATACGTTTTGAAAACAAATTTAACACATGTTTTAGATATCTGGAATTTACTTGGCAGCATGCTTCCTCTCCATTGATCGTCCTCCACAACCATAATCCTTCCAACAACAGGGGGGTGTCTTCGAGCAGGCGACACTGGCGACCTCGGTGGAGAGGTTCATCAGTGACGGCGTGGCGAAGGGCAGCCGTGGTCGTCTTATCGATGCCACGAGGCCCCCGGCCATCATCGCTTTTCCGACGGGGGGCGGGTGGTGTGGGTGGGGGGGGCAGACCCCGCCCCGCACGCCTGGGTAGCGCACAGCCCAGGATCGACCGACCCAGAAGCGCGATGAGGTGGTCAGTGGCCGCACCTCGAGTTTTCAGGCCCCGGGGCCATCATGGCTGGATCGGGTCCGGAGAACTATCGCCAGGTACATGGCCCCTCTGGGGCCGAAGGGTTTCAGAAATCGCATCGTCAGATGTCCTGGAGAACCCCATGGCCCCGCAAACGGCGAGGTAACCTCCAGGAGCTGTTCCCTCCAGGACCACCTTCTACGACCCTCAAGCTGGACACAAGGTAGCAGCTCGGCAAGGCCGCCTGTAGCGTGGCCTATGCCAACTTAAAACATGATTGCACGTACATCGGGGACCCTCTTGACGCCAACCGGTCTAGCACCCCCGCTTGGATCCAAATATTTCTTGGCTTCTACACTGAAGGAACTTACATCGTCAACTTTTCGCGGTCTATCGGACGAGAAAATATTCGGCTGCTCTAGAGGCCTCGTCCAAGGCACTGGCCTCAGCTTGAAGACTCTGAAACGGTAACGACGAGGAGGAAGAGGAGGAGGAGGAGGAGGGGGAGGAGGAGGAGGAAGAAAACCGCTCGGCGGACCAGTGGTCTGCTGAATACGGCTCCACGTCGACGCTGAAACGCGTGAGGCTATCGAGAAAGAAAGATGCACCAAGCCTCGAGAGACCTTCCAGCGACGTCGGGCCCGAGAAAACATACGCTTGCAGGGGAGGAAGAAGAAACGGACGCAAAAGGCAGATGCGCCTAGGGGGCAAGTCAGCAGCGGCGGTACCAAGGCCAACGGAGCTTGGGAAGCCCCTGCGAATGACTCGCTGTCGCTGGGACGTCCACTCCCCCTGGATTTGTCGACTTCGTGCGCATTATTTTTGCTCGATGAGCCAGGATGCTCCTCGATGGTTGTTACCCCCATCGTACTTAGGACCAAATCATAGAACTGATTTGGAACACCAAAACAAATATCGAAACAGTGTCGAACGAGTATCGCCTCCCAGAGCCCGGCACGTGAAAATCCTGCAATTTCGGTACGTTCTTGGTGATCGGAATTCTCTCTGATGAGTCAGGCTAGAGTAGGCTGGAACATCAGAACTCGATGGCCCTCGCCGAGCGAAAAAACACGCACACGCCCGAGCGATGCCAGCTGACACGGATCCGTGGGCCACAGGGCTTCTCTCGCCCTCGGCCTGCCCCCTGGGTCCCAACCAAGCAGTGCGAGGGGGGTGGGGGGGCCGTGAAGGGCGCCCGAGACATCCTCCAGAGCCGCCGGATCTCAGAGATCCTCGATTCATCCCCACCAGAATTTATCCTCGTCCTGGCTTCGTCTTACTTAACAAGATGGTTTCGGGAGCCACACCCCTACACTTGGCGGCGCGCAGAGGGGGGTAGGGACAGGGGAAGGCTTCTTGGAAGCACCCCTGCTTCTTAGAAGGCGCGGGCCTGACATCTACAGACAAGGAAAGCGCCTTGTAAGAAGCAGGGGTGAAGGCTTCTGAGAAGGAGGCTGCTTCTTAGAAGGCGCGGGTCTTGTATCTGCAGACAAGGAGCGCGCCCTCTAAGAAGCAGGGGTGCTTCTAAGAAGCCAACCCCCCTTCCCTTAACCCCCTCTGCGCGTCGCAAAAAGCGGGGGGTTGTGGCCCACGAAATGAGCCCTTTGGGTAAGACGAAGCCAGGACGAGGATAAATCCGGGAGGGGCTAAATCGTGAATCTCTGAGATCCCCCGGCTCTGGAGAGTATCTAGGGCGCCGCGGCCTTCTCAGAGCGTTCCAGAATGCTCTGAGAGCGTTCCCGTTCCCGAACGCTCTGGAACGGATTCATCCTCGTCCTAGCCCCGCCCGGTACCAGCCCTTGGGTTTAAGGTGGTCGGTGGTCTGACGATACAGTCGGACCTAGGCCAGAAGAGCATCCCTCAAGAACATGAGATCCTCCGCCGGCCCAAGATACACAGAACATCCAAGGGTACCTGCCCCAAGATGGCTCCAAGAGGGCCTCGAATGCTCCAAGATCGCCGCCAAGATCGCTCAAGATAGCCGACGTTGGTCCAAGATAGCTTCGAGGCCCGACAAGGGCCGCCAGACGGCTCTAAGTGCTCTCGGAGCCCCCTGGAGACCCCCCCGAGAGGCGAAACAAAAATCATTCAAGCGTCTTTGGAAAATCAATGATTGTTGATTTCTCGCAATTTCGCTTCTGATGCGCTTTTGAGGCCTCAAGATGATGGCACCAAGATGGCCCTAGAGAGGCCAAAGAGGGACCCAGGAGGCCCGCCAGTCGGCCCCAAGAGCGCCCAAGAAGGGCCAGAAGAGGGCTCCAAGAGGCGATTTCGATAGCCCCAGGGGGGTACCAAATAATACGACCCCCCCTTCGTTCATCGATAGCTTCCAAGATTGTCCCAAGAGGCCCTCCAGGGGCCCCAAGGGACCCCGAAGAGGGCTCTAAGAGGGCCTCAAGAGGGCCCCAAGACCTTAAACAAGATGCGATTTAGGAGGATCCGTCCTCGTCCTCGTTGTCATCCTCCTCCTCGTTCTCGTCTTTGCCCTCATCGTCTTCCGTTTCCTTTTCCTCCTGTTCCTTGTCATAGTGGCCGTCGTCGTGGTCGTCGTCGTCCTCCTCCTTCTTGTCCTCCTCTTCCTCCTCCTCCTCCTCCTTCTCCTCCCCCTCCTTCCCCCACCCATCATCGATCTACTGATACGATATCAGCACGAGGACTCTGAGGACGAGGAGGGGGACACAGGCGGACAGGAGGGAGAAGGAACAGGTACTGAGGCAGATCGAGGACCCCGTCGTGAAACTCCATGGGCCCCCACGTACAATGAAGCTGCCCTTCTTCGTGCTTTTGTTGGAGGCGGTATGTGGTCTCCTGCACGGCTACAGTACTGTAACTACGCTGCAGACGCCCAGTGTGTAGATTACACGGCAAACCACTGCAGCACGCATCATATGTCGTAGGACTGTCCTGGGCTCGCTCATCGGCGGTATTGACCTTGGACGACCGAGGGCAGCCGCCAAGAGAAGCTGGCGCGTGGTTCTGGGACAAAGGTCTCTGTCCGCGGAGTTGATTCCCACCGTTGCCGAGGAGAAATGACTCAGGGACCTGGAGAGTCGGGTACGGCCAGGTTGGCATGACGACAGGCGTTGTCTACACGGATGAAGCCTGCAAAAGGTCCTGGTATTGGCCCGAAGCGGGCAAGGCAGGCTGGAGGTCTGCGAAGCTCGTGGACGGCAGGATCGATGTACTCGCCTACGGGACTCTTCCTGGGCCAGTTCAGTTATCTCCGAGGTCTGCGCTCGTTGCATTCCTACAAATGTTGCAGATAGCTGTGCTCCCCCTAACTGTGTACAGTGAGTGTAAGGGCCTCGTCAAGGCCCTCTCATGGGGACCCCAATGGTGTTGCCACCTTAGGAGGTCAAACATGCACCTCTGGGAGCGAACCTGGGCCAGAGTCGAAGATTTAGGCGGTTTAGGAGACACCCTGAAGGTTCAGCACATGGAAGGCCACCAGATTGGCGATGCTGTGCACGTGAGGGGGGCCCGATGGGCTGATGTGGCTGCGACGTCAGGGCGTGATATCCATGCGGTTCCCGTCACCATGTCAAGGCAATGAAGGTTGCCTTGAAGTCTCTTCAGTAGGTCCTGAAGTGGCACGTTCAATCGTGCATGCGTTTTTGTGGCCATGGAAAGATCGACACTTCCGAACGGAGGAGGCGCGAGGTGGCTCCTAGCAAGAGTGCCCTTCTCGACCCTGAGTCCCCGCCGCCCCCCTCTCCATCTCAGGCATGCGTTCGACCAAGTCCCTGGCCGAATGATCCGGAGCTGTAGGTTTTCAATGAGGGGTGCGAAGGTCCAGCGAGTGTTAGGCTGTCTTTCTCGTGCCTCTTGTTTGGCCAGGGTTCTTGCCGCTCGCGGTGCGTGTCGGACGATTGAAGCTGACCCCTCTCCTGCTCGTGTGGCGTCCTCTGGACGTGACGGGGGGAGGCTCAGCCCAAGCGCCCATGGGAGCCGGTGGAGGCTCAGGCGGGCCCTGGCCTTTCTGGAGCTCTCGATCGGTCTGTGGGGCCTACGGTGACCTTTGCCCCAATTCGGCACATTCGAACTCCTGATGGTGATGCCCTGGAGCAGGCTGTCGCCGCGATCCGGGCCCCCCCCTAGCAAAAGCGACCCCGGGTTGTCGGCCGAGTTCCGTTGGCGCAAAGTCGCCCCCCCCCCCCCCCTCGACGCCGCTGCCGACGTCGGGCATTGTGGGGCCGCTCGCGGGTCGTGGGCACAGGCTTCCCCGGGCCAGGCCGTGCTCTGTCGCACGTGCAATTTTTTCACGTCCAGTTCCCTGGCCAATCATGTGCTCCCTGAGTGCGAGTTCTCAAAGGTGCTGCCCGAACGTGATGCCAATAATCAAGAGTTATGTATTGAGGTTCGTCACCCTGCCGCTGAAGGACGGGCCGATGGTCAATATATCCCCATGTCCCGTCCCATCGTTGCCCCGATCCCGAAGTCACGTGGCCCCGTTCGGGACAGGGTTGGTGATGCCAGGGGGCTCAAATTCCTCCCAACCCTTAGTTCGTTTGTGTATTTTTTGGGGATGGTGGGACAGCCGGTCGGTCCGAGTGTGGGCGGCGGCGCGCGCGCGCGGCCGTCCAACTGCGCGGTTTCGCCACCGAGAACCGCCCTCCGCCCCGCCTTTCTCTGGCCTCTCGCCTAGGATCGGGATCTCTCGGGTGGATTTGTGGCGGCATCCCGACGGTGTCCTTCCATAAGTGCACGTTGGCGCATCGCGCGACTTTCCCCCTGCAGCGCCGTGCCCCCCCTCCTTCTCTCGCCTCCGCGCGGGCCCCAAGGATGAACGGAAGAAGCCCTCCAAATCCACCCCCCTGCTCACAAAACAAAAATTATCTGTTCACCCTGGTATCCCGCTTTATTTCACTGTCCTGTGTCTCTTCGTCTCATTTTTCCGCCAACTCTCATAGGCAAGGTTTGTACATGGGTTGGCGGGGGTACTTTTTGACCGCGACCGCGGCGAAGAGGTCGGGCGGCGTCAAGGGGCGAAGCGCAGGGGCAACGGCCGAAATTAGCGCACGGGAAGAGGAAGGCGAAAAGAGACAAGCCAAGTGAGGAGGGAGGCGAACAGGAGGCAAGCCTTGCTGGCGCTCACAGGAGGGCGCACACCAGGAAGTCCTTCAGGGTGACGTGCAGCAGTGGGATTCGGGGCAGGTGAGGATTTTTTTGATATGCGGTTCCAAGGACGATTCCAGAGAGCGGGTCGTAGCAAGCTTGGGGCAACAAACACGATAATTGCCAGCGGGCCAAAAGCCAACGCCGGAATGCACACGCGATGAACAACATGAACCTCATTAAGCCGAACAGTGACGGCGGCAGACACGAAGGCCAGCGGAAGGTCGCACAGTGGCGCCAGCTCCCGAGGCGCAGGCCTGCGAAAGACCGGTGGGGAACGCGGAGAGAACAAGCAGAGGCGAAGACTGGTATATTTTTTTGACGGGGCCTCGGGATGCATGCCCACCATAGGGCACGAAACGCTAGCTCCCGCTGACAAGCGCCTCTCCTGTACGAGACTGCAGCCGCTGGTTGCCTCCTTTGAAGTCAGCAACAACAGTCTGTCGGAATCTGCGGGTGCGGCTGGGGAGCGGAGAGCTGGCAACCGCAGCGCGAGCCTCTATGAGGCGGAGCGCTTCCGAGACACACGACAACTAAGCAGCAACACGGGAAACCCATCCAGAGGGGGGCCTCGGCTGCACAGAAAAGAAAAACGTCCTGTAAGTGTAGGACACCTCGCGAAGTGTGGGGTCCAGGCCCGTGGCAGCCTGGCCCCTGCGACGCCGCGACCCGAGCCGCTGTCAGAGCAGTCCTATGACCGCTCCCGTGTTCGGCTAGGAAATGCACCAGGGACGAGCGTGCCGCGCGCCTTCCCCCTGAAGCGGGGTGCCTGACATGCGTGCCGAGCGGCCACGAGTGCGCGCACACGACGGTCGCGCACGCAGCTCAAAAAAAGAAAAAGACAGACCGCCCACACAAGGACGACGAGACCCGCCATCCCAGGTGCAGAGAGTGCCAGGACGACAGCAAGCCTCGCCCCAGATGTGGGGTATACGCGAAGTTGCCTCCTTCACAGGAGACATGCCAACGGCCTGGAGCCATAGACCTAAAAGAAAAACACAAAACAGTGAAAACGACCGCCCACACAAGGACGACGAGGTCAGACGCCCCTGGTGCAGAGAGCGCCAGGACGGCGTCTGGCCTCGCCCAAAATCCGCCGACCCTGTCGGCGTGTGTGAGGGGCTTTTCCGTTCGAGCCGTCATCTCCGTCATTCTTTGTACTCGTCGTCTCTGTCCTTCCCTTTCCCTGGGAGACCTCTTCCCCTGGGCTCCAGCCAAGCCGACCTTGAGCAACCTCGTAATTGAGTCGAAGGGAAGCCCCTTCCCTTTGATCCCTCCCCCGCCGGGAGGGGGGGGGGGGTGCGACCCCCCCCCCGGGTCAGATACGACGCCCCCCCCTGGGACTCCTCTTCCCCTGGGCTCCAGCCAAGCCGACCTTGAGCAACCTCGTAATTGAGTCGAAGGGAAGCCCCTTCCCTTTGATCCCTCCCCCGCCGGGAGGGGGGGGGGGGGGGTGCGACCCCCCCCCGGGTCAGATACGACGCCCCCCCCTGGGACTCCTCTTCCCCTGGGCTCCAGCCAAGCCGACCTTGAGCAACCTCGTAATTGAGTCGAAGGGAAGCCCCTTCCCTTTGATCCCTCCCCCGCCGGGAGGGGGGGGGGGGGGGGGTCAGATACGACGCCCCCCCCTGGGACCTCTTCCCCTGGGCTCCAGCCAAGCCGACCTTGAGCAACCTCGTAATTGAGTCGAAGGGAAGCCCCTTCCCTTTGATCCCTCCCCCGCCGGGAGGGGGGGGGGGTGTCGACCCCCCCCCCGGGTCAGATACGACGCCCCCCCCTGGGACTCCTCTTCCCCTGGGCTCCAGCCAAGCCGACCTTGAGCAACCTCGTAATTGAGTCGAAGGGAAGCCCCTTCCCTTTGATCCCTCCCCCGCCGGGAGGGGGGGGGGGTGTCGACCCCCCCCCCGGGTCAGATACGACGCCCCCCCCTGGGACTCCTCTTCCCCTGGGCTCCAGCCAAGCCGACCTTGAGCAACCCCTGGGCTCCAGCCAAGCCGACCTTGAGCAACCTCGTAATTGAGTCGAAGGGAAGCCCCTTCCCTTTGATCCCTCCCCCGCCGGGAGGGGGGGGGGGGTGTCGACCCCCCCCCGGGTCAGATACGACGCCCCCCCTGGGACTCCTCTTCCCCTGGGCTCCAGCCAAGCCGACCTTGAGCAACCTCGTAATGAGTCGAAGGGAAGCCCCTTCCCTTTGATCCCTCCCCCGCCGGGAGGGGGGGGGGGGTGTCGACCCCCCCCCCGGGTCAGATACGACGCCCCCCCCTGGGACTCCTCTTCCCCTGGGCTCCAGCCAAGCCGACCTTGAGCAACCTCGTAATTGAGTCGAAGGGAAGCCCCTTCCCTTTGATCCCTCCCCCGCCGGGAGGGGGGGGGGGGTAGCGACCCCCCCCCCGGGTCAGATACGACGCCCCCCCTGGGACTCCTCTTCCCCTGGGCTCCACTTGAGCAACCTCGTAATCCCCTGGGCTCCAGCCAAGCCGACCTTGAGCAACCTCGTAATTGAGTCGAAGGGAAGCCCCTTCCCTTTGATCCCTCCCCCGCCGGGAGGGGGGGTGGGCGACCCCCCCCCCGGGTCAGATACGACGCCCCCCCCTGGAATCCTCTTCCCCTGGGCTCCAGCCAAGCCGGAGCCTTGAGCATGAGCAACTCGTAATTGAGTCGAAGGAAGCCCCTTCCCTTTGATTCCCGCCCCCGACGGGAGGGGGGGGGGTGGGGAGTCAGAACGACGCGCCCCCCCATGGGACTCCTCTTCCCCTGGGCTCCAGCCAAGCCGACCTTGAGCAACCTCGTAATTGAGTCGAAGGAAGCCCCTTCCCTTTGATCCCTCCCCCGCCGGGGAGGGGGGGGGGGGGGACCATCCCCCGTGCGTCAGATACCGACGCCCCCCCTGGTACTCCTCTTCCCCTGGAACAAGAGAAAGCCGACCTGAGCAACCTCCCCCTAACGTCGAAGGAAGCCCCTTCCCTTTGATCCCTCCCCCGCCGGGAGGGGGGGGGGGGTGTCGACCCCCCCCCCGGGTCAGATACGACGCCCCCCCCTGGGACTCCTCTTCCCCTGGGCTCCAGCCAAGCCGACCTTGAGCAACCCCTGGGCTCCAGCCAAGCCGACCTTGAGCAACCTCGTAATTGAGTCGAAGGGAAGCCCCTTCCCTTTGATCCCTCCCCCGCCGGGAGGGGGGGGGGGGGTGTCGACCCCCCCCCCGGGTCAGATACGACGCCCCCCCCTGGGACTCCTCTTCCCCTGGGCTCCAGCCAAGCCGACCTTGAGCAACCTCGTAATTGAGTCGAAGGGAAGCCCCTTCCCTTTGATCCCTACTCGCCGGGAAGGGGGGGTCCGACCCCCTCCGGTGATACGACGCCCCCCCCTGGGACTCCTCTTCCCCTGGGCTCAGCCAAGCCAGCCAAGCTGACCTTGAGTCGTAATTGAGTCGAAGGGAAGCCCCTTCCCTTTGATCCCTCCCCCGCCGGGAGGGGGGGGGGGGGTGTCGACCCCCCCCCCGGGTCAGATACGACGCCCCCCCCTGGGACTCCTCTTCCCCTGGGCTCCAGCCAAGCCGACCTTGAGCAACCTCGTAATTGAGTCGAAGGGAAGCCCCTTCCCTTTGATCCCTCCCCCGCCGGGAGGGGGGGGGGGTAGCGACCCCCCCCCCGGGTCAGATACGACGCCCCCCCCTGGGACTCCTCTTCCCCTGGGCTCCAGCCAAGCCGACCTTGAGCAACCTCGTAATTGAGTCGAAGGGAAGCCCCTTCCCTTTGATCCCTCCCCCGCCGGGAGGGGGGGGGGGGTGCGACCCCCCCCCCGGGTCAGATACGACGCCCCCCCCTGGGACTCCTCTTCCCCTGGCTCCAGCCAAGCCGCCTTGAGCAACCCCTGGGCTCCAGCCAAGCCGACCTTGAGCAACCTCGTAATTGAGTCGAAGGGAAGCCCCTTCCCTTTGATCCCTCCCCCGCCGGGAGGGGGGGGGGGGGTGTCGACCCCCCCCCCGGGTCAGATACGACGCCCCCCCCTGGGACTCCTCTTCCCCTGGGCTCCAGCCAAGCCGACCTTGAGCAACCTCGTAATTGAGTCGAAGGGAAGCCCCTTCCCTTTGATCCCTCCCCCGCGGGAGGGGGGGGGGGGGGGTCGACCCCCCCCCCGGGTCAGATACGACGCCCCCCCCTGGGACTCCTCTTCCCCTGGGCTCCAGCCAAGCCGACCTTGAGCAACCTCGTAATTGAGTCGAAGGGAAGCCCCTTCCCTTTGATCCCTCCCCCGCCGGGAGGGGGGGGGGGGTGTCGACCCCCCCCCGGGTCAGATACGACGCCCCCCCCTGGGACTCCTCTTCCCCTGGGCTCCAGCCAAGCCGACCTTGAGCAACCTCGTAATTGAGTCGAAGGGAAGCCCCTTCCCTTTGATCCCTCCCCGCCGGGAGGGGGGGGGGGGGTGTCGACCCCCCCCCGGGTCAGATACGACGCCCCCCCTGGGACTCCTCTTCCCCTGGGCTCCAGCCAAGCCGACCTTGAGCAACCTCGTAATTGAGTCGAAGGGAAGCCCCTTCCCTTTGATCCCTCCCCCGCGGGGGGGGGGGGGGGGGGGGTCGACCCCCCCCCGGGTCAGATACGACGCCCCCCCCTGGGACTCCTCTTCCCCTGGGCTCCAGCCAAGCTGACCTTGAGCAACCTCGTAATCTCTTGCTGCGCATTGCGAACAGGGTCGGCGGCACCGGCCGTCAGGCCTTCGCAATCTGGGGTGAAAGCACGGGTGCCTGCCAAAAGGGTCAGTCGCATCGGGCCGTGCAAAAGAGGACACAAGTGAAATGAGCAGGTGCATGCCTGCCGATAGGCCAGACACGTGTCAGTCCGAACTATATGACTCCTCCTGGCGGTGTGGCAGAGCGCTCGCCATCTCGCCTACAGGCGAGGTGTGTGTAGTGGCGAGCACCCCGCCAACTCTCTCGACGTCTGCGCGTCCTTCTCCGCGTCTGGGGGTCCTCTGTAATTCGGGAAGATCTTCTTGCCTATCCTGGCCAGGTTCTTGACGCCCTGACGCGTGGCAGGCACGCGTTGGGACCATAAACTGCTCGGGGCGACCGTAGCCGTGCGGCCGCACGTCGCACAAAAGTATAGCGAGTGCCGCGGCCAGAAGCGGAGGGCATGTGACTCGTGAAGTTGCTTCCCGCCCAGCATCACCCCCCTCCCACCGACCGAAATTCATCGATAGCCGAGTCCGCGGACCCAGAGTCCGCAGGCTGGTCGACCGAGCACTCTGTGGCGCATGTCTCCTGAATATCTTCTTGTTTAACAATGCAGTGGCACAGGCTGCACACATATTTATGAGACGGCTGGCGCACAAAACCATGTTGACTCTCTAGCGCGGCCTTCGATAAAACCGCCTCCGACGAGGCAGTGCTGAGGCGGACTTGGGCCTCCCGAGGGCAGTTAGAGAGGTCCAAACGAGGCCACAGAGGAAGGATTTGAGCCGGCAATTTGCAAACAGCTTTGGCGACCCTAGTGCAGACAACCAAAGCCTCCTGCTCCTCTTCCGTGGCCGCAGGGTGGAGATTGGCCCCTGCTTTAACCGCCAGATCCGCCGCGTGGTTGCCCAAACGGCACCATCGCGTGGTTGGCTTACGCGGGCAACAAGTCCGTCCAATGGAAGGGGGCGATGCCGCAAGTAAGCCGGATGATGCTTCTGTATGTGCCTGCGTTGGGTTTTCCACCACAAACTGATGGGAAAATGTCGCTTTCCTCTCTGGATACAGCACGATCTGCGTCTGCTGGTGAGGATACGTGAAGCGTGATGAATTCCATCAGTACAAAGGGTGTCGGGTGTGGAGCACCGTCAATACCCGAGGGAGCAGGAGAGGAGGAGGAGGAGGAGGAGAAGGAGGAGGAGGAGGAAGAGGACCTGCGCAAACCCAGGACGTGTCAACAATGTTGCGAGGAACTCTCCCTCCAAGTTCCCGTATCAAAAGGTCCCTACAAAAATGCTCTCATCCATGGATATCCCCCGTTGGAAGACAGGCGTCAGACAATGCTCAATCGTGCCAAAACACATGCCCTGGGTCAACAACGCCACGAATCAACATGTCTGCTGCGTCCTGGCAATCCTAATCAGTGCCAGAACACTATCCCAGGCATTCCACCACCGCGAATCAACGTAACTACTGCGTCCTGACATTCCTGGACCGTGCCCAAACACCATTTCTGAGGCTTAGACCGTACGACTGTCTCATCGAAAGTGCTGCAAACTTGTAAGACGAATGTGCGCGGCGCCACGGCGAGAGACACATGGTGACAGGCAACCGCCTTCCATCATTGAAATATATGCAAGCGGCGCGAGTGCAATAGCCAAATCTATATTTACATAAATAACACTAGAACCACGCGCGCGCTTCGCGCGCGCTTAGGTTCTAGCTAGGAGGCGAGCTTGAGTCAACGAAAGTCGCAGGGAAGGGGGCAGGGGGAAGAAGGCCAGAGAGCGCTGAAGGATACAAATACTGGAACCCTCTTGTGATTTTGTGGGGGGCCTCGTCCGGCCGCTCGCTGGGAGTTTGACGTAGCTTCTCGGGAGCCTCTGAACCTGTCGGGGGCCTCCTGGAAGCAGGTTCGAAGCATTTTGGGGGCCGATTTGGGGCTTCTCGGGGCCTCCTTTGGGCCTCTTGGGGGTCTCCTGGGGCCTCTTGAGGGGCCTCCTTGGGGCCTCCTGGCGGCCTCTTGGGGCGGAAGGCTCGAGCTTGCGGTTCGTGGTCCCCCTCTGGGCCCCCTCTTGGGCCCGTCTTGGGGCCCTCTTGGGCCATCTTGGGCGCCTCTTGGGCCGTCTTGGGGCCCTCTTGGGCTGTCCTGGGGCCCTCTTGGAAGCTTCTTGGGCCGTCTTGGGGCGGTCTTGGAGGCCTCTTGGGCCGTCTTGGACGCGGTGAAAGCCCAAGATGCGAACATGCGAAAAATATACGTTTCCCAATAGGAATGACACGATTTTTGTTTCTTGGACCTCTCTTGGGGTGCCTCTCGGAACGTCTTGGGCTGATTTTGGAAGCCTTTTGGCGCCTCTGGGCGGCGTTTTGGCGCCTCCTGGGATATGTTGGGCCGGAAGCTCGGAATTCGAGAGTGGCTTTCTCCTTCTGGGACCCCTCTCGAAGTCGTCTTGGGGTTCTCTTGGGCCGTCTTGGGGCCGTCCTGAGCCACTCGTGCGCAGCCTTGGAGCGCTCCCGGAGGCCTCCTAGGCCGTCTTGGAGGCCTCTTGGGCCGTCTTGGACGCGGTGAAATCCCAAGATGCGAACATGCGAAAATATACGTTTCCCATAGGAATGACACGATTTTTGTTTCTTGGACCTCTCTTGGGGTGCCTCTCGGAACGTCGTGGGGTGCTTTTGGGAGCCTTTTGGCGCCTCTTGGCGGCATTTTGGCGCCTCCTGGAGCCTCTTGGGCCGGAAGCTCGGAATTCGAGGTTGGCTTTCTCCGTCTGGGACCCCTCTCGAACTCGTCTTGGGGCTCTCTTCGGCCGTCTTGGGGCCGTCCTGGGCCACTCGTGCGCAGCCTTGGAGCGCTCCCGGAGGCCTCGTAGACCGTCTTGGGCGCCTCTTGGGCCGTCTTGGACGCGGTGAAAGCCCAAGAGGCGAACATGCGAAAAATATACGTTTTCCCATAGGAATGGCACGATTTTTGCTTCTTGGGCCTCTCTTGGGCTGCCTCTCGGAGCGTCTTGGAGGCTTCTGGGACCTTCTTGGTGTCATGACAGGCGTCTTGGAAGGCATCTGGAGCCATCGGAGCGCGTTCCGAAGCCGCCTGCGAACGATCTTGGACGGCGTCCGGCGGTCCGACGAGCCTCCGGGCCCCCCGGGGCCCACATTTGTGGTCGGGGTCCCGGCCCCGGGCCCCCGGACCCGGTGCGCCGTTATATGTATAAAACATCGCCCTTAATCGTTGAAGCTGCTGCAAATAACTTTTAAGACGAATGCGCACGCAGCTACGGCGAGAGCCACATTCTGAAAAAAACAACACTTAAGCCCGAATATCAGCAACGGTGAGGAAGTCAAAGGCGCAATGTCCAGCCCACCCTATTGTACCGATGCGTCTGCGGGTGCGGCCTTGAGGAGTTATGTATAAGGAAACAGGATGGAGGAGGAGGAGGAAAACTGTCTTGTAATGTTTTCATCGCCCGGAGGCCCAACTGGGGCACACACACCAGAAGAAAACACGCAACCTCCACGCCTACGGCATCGAAGTCCCGTGGGCGACATGGCACCGCGCCTCCCCATCAGTGCACGACCCTCCTAGGGTCAAGGAAAATACTACTCTCTCAATCATATCAATACACTTGCACCGCCCCCGACGCCCCGCCGGGCTGGAATACATGGAGGAGGAGGAAGAAGGAACTAGCGGAGGAGGACCGGTGGTCGTACAAAGCGAAGGTCCCGTCAAGCGGCCGCCCGCACGCCCTGCTTCCCCCCCACACCTCGGACGGCGGCATAGCGCGCACCGTTACCGCAGCCCCGGTGGCAGCGGGACTCCTTTTCCTCCTCCGAGCCTCCTCCTGCTCTCGGTGGTTCAAAGATGGGGTCCTGAGGGATGGGGACCGAAGGATAGGAAGGGATCCAAGGGCGCCTCCTCCTCAGGACCCCATCCCTCAGGACCCCATCTTTGAATCACCGATTCTCGCTACAACCTCCCACTCCCCTTCCTCCTCCCGCCAGTCCCCGTCGTTGCGTGCTCCTCCTCCTCCTCCTCCTCCTGCTCCTCATGCTCCTCGTTACCTTATCCTCCTCCTCCTCCTCCTCCTCCTCCTCCTCTTCCTCCTCCTCCTCCTCCTCCTCCTCCCCGTTCTTTTCCTCCTCCTCCTCATCCTCCTCCTCCTCCATCCGTCGACCCCCGCTTGCAGGGGGTAAGAAGGCGTGTGAGATGATCGGGTGCCCCTCTCCCGCCCTACCCTGAGGTCCAAAATCACAATAGAAAACGAGGGCAGGGGGGGGGGGCAGAGCGCGAGCTTACCAACGCACCTTCTGGGGCCCTCCGAACCTCAAAATCCAACACCCGTCGCCGCCAAGATGCGCAAGATGCCATCGAGATTGCCCCATAAATGCTCAAACACGCAAAAGATGCAGCGATAACACAAGATGACTTCAAGACGGCCCACGACTCCCCCAAGACGGTTCCCAGGAGACCTCCACGATGGCATCACGAGGCAAACATAGGTTGAACTTCCATGCGGTTTTGAATGATGTTCGCGCTCTCGCCTTCTGGGCGTCTGCAAGCCCAAAACGGCCAGAGAGGCCCCCGAAACAAACCCAAGACAGCCCCTAAGGCACCTGAGATGACCAGGAGGCGGCCCAAACCCCAAGACGGCCCAGCAGCCCCCCAAGACGGCAACACAACTCCAAGAGGGGCCCAAGAGAGGCCCAAGAGGGGGAACTCGCGGGGACCCCATCGAAGGGACCCAAGAAACCCTCCCCCACAGCATGGCCCCCAAGACCTCCCAAATGCCCCCCCGAAAGGCCCCCCAAACCCCCGCAGCAGACCTCAAACGCCCCCAGGAGCCCTGAGTATGCTCCAAGAGGAGGCCCCCTTAGGCCTCCACGAGGCCCCCAAGAGCCACTGCAACAAACGCGGAGGAAGAGGATCACACACTACTATCAACTAGCAGGCATCACGACGGGACGTGGCAAACAACATGTACTAGTTCACCCACACATCCCCGTTTTTCGGGGGCCCGCCAACATCGCGAAAGCCTCTTGAATCAATTATTAAATATCCCCATTATCATGATTCGTCTCTTTCGTCATCGTCGCTCCTCCTCCTCTTCTTCCTCCTCTTCCTCGACCTCGTCCTCCTCCCGTGTTCGTCCTACTCGCACTCCGGCTCCTCCTTGAACCTGCTTCTCCTTTTTTACTCGTGTTCCTCCTCCTCCTCCTCCTTCCCCTCTCCCGCCCTGTTGCAACCCCCCGCGTTCCTCCTCTGATATCCTCTCTGCTATCTCCTCTCCCGCAACTCATACTGCCTCTGCCGTCCTCGCCCTCGTTTCCCATTCCAGCTCTTCATTATCCTCGGTCACATCCTCTTCCTTCTCCTCGTCCCTCTCATTTGCCACCGCATTCTCCTCGTCCTCCATTCATCCCTCTTCCTCTCCCACGTCCTCTTCCTTGTTCCTCATCGGCCTTCTCCACCTTCCCGGCCTCCTCCTCCTCATCATCATCGTCACCAATCTCATAATCAGTATCATCATGACACGCAGCTACTCCTGGACAGCCTGGGAATCCAGGACAACATTAAAGTGCATGAAAACGTAATACAAATAGGCGATCTGAAATAAGCGGGACATCTGTTTCCGACGTATAATCGGGCAAATGCCGCTCGCTGGTTTGGCGAAATGGCACGCGGCGCGCGAAAATCGCAACTGCGCGCGCCCCCCCCAGGGGTGATCCACCCCAGACGACTCGAACGCCTCCTGCGAGTCGACGACAGAAACTCGCCGAATCCGCGTATCTCCGACGCCGCATCCGCGGCGGCAGCGGCGGGGGCGACGCGGCGGAAGGCAGGCGAGAGGCAGAAGCAGCAGCGCGGCCGCTGACAGAAACGACGGTGCCAGGAAAACGACGACGGGGCCGATGAAATCCGCGCGCGAGGAGAAGGAGAGGGGCAGGCGCACGACATCGCCTGGATAATAGCACCGGGTGAAAAAAAGGGGTGCAGAGGACGGACAGGGGGGCGACTGGAACTTGAATGGGGGCGGCGGCTAAAACGGCCTCGACGGGGTCGCTGAGAACGGGCCGTTGGGACGAAGGGTGATGAGGCGCAGACAAACCAGTGGCGGCGGGCCTGGGCCGCGCGAAGCTACGAGCCGACTCGCCGCCGCAAAGGGCAAGGGGCCACCCGACATCTCTGCGATCCAAACTATCATATGGCTACTGTGCCACCATGACGCGACTGCCATTGGCAAAACGTCCCGCGTGCCCCCGCGCGCCGATGACGTCGAGAGCACGCCGCCGCGGCCCGCGCGGCTGCCGCCGCTGCGACTTGCGAGTAAGCCAGCAAGAATGCCCCCCAGACTGCCGCCGGCGACGTGGACCTCCCTGCTCCTTGCCCTTTCCCCCCGCCCCCCTCCCACCCAAAACCAACCTCCCACTCCAATCGTGCCCCCCCCCCTTCCCCCTCGCGCGCTCTTCACCCTGCCCGCCGCCCTCTCAAATTAAACCCGTTGTTCCCCCTGGCCGTCTGCGGCGCGACCCCCCGCGGAGACACAGAAGCGCGGCGCCGCTCGCGTCCAACCCAAACCGCGCCGATCGCGCCGGCGCCACGGGCAGCAAATTCGAGGGCCCCCAAAATTGTTGCTAGATGGCCACCGCGACCCAAGGCGGCGACACATACCCCTCCGGCTCCGCGCCAGACGCCGGCACGATCGCCGCGGGGCCTCGATCGGCGCGGCCCCCGGGCGGCCGCGATTTGTTCAAGTGCGTCCGCGGGGCCCCAATCGAAATGCATAAATTACTCCTACGGAAGGACCCGCCATGAGAATATGTTCAGCTTGCCCCTGGCCCATTCCTCCTCGCCCTGGCAGACGCCCTCCTCTCGCCCTCTGGTCTGCCCTGTCCTCCTCCTCCTCCTCCTCCTCCTCCTCCTCCTCCTCCTCCTCCTCCTCCTCCTCCTCCTCCTCCTCCTCCTCCTCATTGTATTTATTATACTTCTCCTTGTATGTATTATTCTCCTCCTCCTCCTCCTCCTCCTCCTCCTCCTCCTCCTTCTCCACCTTCTCATCGTCGTCGCCCTCTCCCAATCCCTTCCCCGTCGTCATCCTTCCCCTGCTTCTTATCCATGTACCCCCCTTTTCCCCGTGGTCGGGGCAAGCATATCGATGTCCGTCGGCGCCGTCGCCGCCTCGGCCAGCGCGCGCGCATTCGCCGACGGCTGGTTCGCGAAGCCTTGGGAACAGCTCCGCGGGCCATGCCTTTGGGACAACCCCGCGGGCCGGCGGGGGCAGGCCGTCGGGACAACCCCGCGGGCCAGACCGTTGGGACAAACCCGCGGGCCTCTAGCTGCGCGCAGCGGCGCTCATGTGGGAGGCAGCACGAAGCCAAGCTCCGCGGCAAGCTGCTCGGCATCATACCTGGAGGTCTTTGCTTTCTCGTCGAACTTCTTGAACGCCTCCCGCAAGGACGCCGGCGGCCCGCGGGGAACGCGGGCCCCTTAGGGAGGGAACTCCCGCCTGAGACTTCCCCACGGTTCGCTCACAAACGAGGCTCCCGCATGATACTTCCTCCGTATTCAAGCCTGAGGAGCCCAAAATTGACGACGGTTGCAGGATGCCGATGGCCCGCCTCGGATTCGAACATTAAGCGTGGGCCCCTAAGGAGTGCGTTCCAGCCTGAGACTTCCTCACAATTCACTCACAGACGAGGCTCCCGCCTGATACTTCCTCCATACTCAAGCCTCAGGACCCCAACATTGACGACGGTTACATAATGCCGATAACCCGCATCGGATTCAAACATGAAGCGAGGGCCCCTTAAGGAGTGAGCTCCCGCCTGAAACTTCCTCGCAATCCACTTCCCTCACAGACGAGGCTCCCGCATGATACTTCTTCCATATTCAGGCCTGAGGAGCCCAAGATTAACGACGGTTACAGGATGCCGATGGCCCGCGTCGGATTCAAACGTGAAGCGCGGGCCCCTTAGGGAGTGAGCTCCCGCCTGGGACTTCCTCACTATTCACTCACAAAGGAGGCTACCGCCTGATATTTCGTCCACATTCAGATTCAGGCCTGAGGAGCCCCAAAAAATCGATAGTTACAAGATGCCGGTGATCCGCATCGGATTCGAACATGAAGCGCAGGCCCCTTAGGGAGGGAGCGCCTTCCCCCTTGAAACTTCCTCGCAATTCGCTGCACAAACGAGGCTCACGCCTGATACTTCCTCCATCTTCACGCCTGAAAGCCCAAAAATGACGACACGTACAAAATGCCGATGGCCCACCTCGGATTCGAACATGAAGCGCGGGCCCCTTAGGGAGGGAACTCCCGCCTGAGACTGCCTCGCAATTCGCTCATAAACGAGGTTCCCGCCTGATATTTCCTCCATATTCAGGCCCGAGGAGCCCCAAATTGACGGCAATTACAGGATGCCGATCACCTGCCTCGGATTCGAACTTGAAGCGCGATTCCTTTAGGGAGGGGGTTCCCTCCTGAATCTTCCTCGCAATTCGCCCACAAACAAAGTTCCCGCCTGATATTTCATCCATATTCAAGCCTGCGGAGCCCAAAAATAACGACAGTTACAAGATGCCGATGACCCGCCTCGGATTCAAACATGAAGTGCGGGCCCCTTCAGGACGGAGCTCCCGCCTGACAATTCCTCGCAAGTCGCTCACAAACGAAGCTCCCGCATGATACTTCCTCCATTGTCAAGCCTCAAAATCCCAAAAGTGACGACGATTACAGGATGCCGATGGGCCGCAACGGATTCGAACATGAAGTGTGGACCCCATTAGGAGGAGGCTCCCGCCTGAGACTCCTTCGCAATTCACTCACAGACGAGGCTCCTGCCTGAGACATCCTCCATTGTCATGCCAAGGAGTGAATGATGACGAAATGATGAGCGAATGAAGGGTGATGGTGAGTGCGTGAATGAGTGTGTGAGTGAGTGATGATGATTAAAGTGACGACGATAAGTGGAGTGTGTGATCGTGTGATTGAGTGTGAACGTGAATGAATGTGTGAATGATGGAGATGCTGATGGTGATGGTGGTGATGGGTGAGGGAGTGACTGAGGGTGAATGATCACGAGGGGGACAGGGCGCGTGACAGGAGTGCGCGGGGTGTCCACAGAAAACAAGAACACTGCGTAGGATGTGGGGAAAGATGCAAAAACAAAATAGGCCCCGCATTCGCAATCCCCGGGAGGATTCGGCGCGTCCATTTGAAATATGAAAATTGAGGCGGCCGAAATTGGCGAGACGCCCACCAACGCCGCGCGCGCATGTTTCGCATATCTTTCGTTTATGTGTTTGGCATATTTTTGCACAAACAAACAACTGCGGCAAATATGTAAAAATAATATATTGCCGGACAGGCGCCTATTTTCCCCCCAAACAATGAATAATACATGCGCGAAAAAATGGAACGCCCCGATCAATGTAAATACAAGAAATTAAAACTAGAACCACGCGCGCGCTTCGCGCGCGCTTAGGTTCTGTCGAATCACAGACCCAGGAATCGCTGCGAGAAGAAATTGGTGACGCGAAGCGTCTTGGGGGCATCCTTGGACGTCTGGGGTCTCCTGGGGCCTCTTGAGGGGCCTCCTGGGGGCCTCCTGGCGGCCTCTTGGGGCGGAAGGCTCGAGCTTGCGGTTCGTGGTCCCCCTCTGGGCCCCCTCTTGGGCCCGTCTTGGGGCCCTCTTGGGCCATCTTGGGCGCCTCTTGGGCCGTCTTGGGGCCCTCTTGGGCTGTCCTGGGGCCCTCTTGGAAGCTTCTTGGGCCGTCTTGGGGCGGTCTTGGGCGCCTCTTGGGCCGTCCTGTAACGTCGGAAAGCCCAAAAGACAACTTTGTTGAAAATGTACGTTTTACGAAGGGAATGGGCCAATTTTTGCGTCTAGGGGCCCTCTTGGGACGCATGTTGGAGGCTTCTTGGGGCCTCTTGGGGGCGTCCTTGGACGTCTGGGGTCTCCTGGGGCCTCTTGAGGGGCCTCCTGGGGGCCTCCTGGCGGCCTCTTGGGGCGGAAGGCTCGAGCTTGCGGTTCGTGGTCCCCCTCTGGGCCCCCTCTTGGGCCCGTCTTGGGGCCCTCTTGGGCCATCTTGGGCGCCTCTTGGGCCGTCTTGGGGCCCTCTTGGGCTGTCCTGGGGCCCTCTGGGAAACTTCTTGGGCCGTCTTGGGTTTTGGGGCGGTCTTGGGCGCCTCTTGGGCCGTCCTGTAACGTCGGAAAGCCCAAAAGGCGACTTTGTTAAAAATGTACGTTTTACGAAAGGGAATGGGCCAACTTTTGCGTCTAGGGGCCCTCTTGGGACGCATGTGGGGGGCTTCTTGGGGCGTCTTGGGGGCATCCTTGGACGTCTGGGGTCTCCTGGGGCCTCTTGAGGGTCTTGGGGCGGAAGGCTCGAGCTTGCGGTTCGTGGTCCCCCTCTGGGCCCCCTTTTGGGCCCGTCTTGGGGCCCTCTTGGGCCATCTTGGGCGCCTCTTGGGCCGTCTTGGGGCCCTCTTGGGCTGTCCTGGGGGCTTCTTGGGCCGTCTTGGGGCGGTCTTGGGCGCCTCGTGGGCCGTCCTGTAACGTCGGAAAGCCCAAAAAACAACTTTGTTGAAAAATATACGTTTTACAAAGGGGATGGGCCAATTTTTGCGTCTAGGGGCCCTCTTGGGACGCATGTTGGAGGCTTCTTGGGGCCTCTTGGGGGCGTCCTTGGACGTCTGGGGGCCATCTTCAGCATCTCGGAGCCCTCTTGGAGGCCTCTTGGAAGTTTCTTGGGCCGTCTTGGGCGCTCCTGGGGCCGTCTTGTCTGACCGGGGAGGCCTCCGGCAAGCCCCGACGAGCCTCCGGGCCCCCCGGGGCGCACATTTGTGGTCGGGGTCCCGGCCCCGGGCCGCCGTTATATGTATAAAACGCGAAATGAGTTGTTCCCCCGGGCATCCAGCGGGAGCGAAGTGGAATAGAGCGACGCCCCCGGGAGGCCCGCGACGGAACGCGGTCACCCCATGGAGCCTTGCCTCCCCCTTGCCCCATGCGCCCTTGGGATGAAAGCCCGGCCGCCTACCGGCTCCGGGCGGGCGGGGGAGCGGACGGAGGCGCGACGCCAGGCGAGGGGCGCAGCCGCGCGGCTCAGCAATTGACGTCGGCGCCGCGCCACCCACCGCGGCAATGTGCCCGCGAATATTTCGCCGACATGGGGCGGTGCCTCAAGGGCAATGACTCCGCGAATAAGATGCCGCGACCCCAAGGGGGCTCCAGCGGTCGCCCCTGACGGGGGGCCCCACCGGAGCCCCAACGGGGGTGGCCGTGCGCGGCGCTCGCAGACCCCCCAAACATTTGCCCAACCGAAAAGCCGCAGCGGCAGAGGCTGCGCGCCCTACTTGCACACCCCTCGCGCGCTTCGTGGCCCCAGGAATTCCGTCGAGGCCGCGGTAGCAGCGGCCGCGCGCGGCACTTGCACTCTCCAGGCTCCATCAGCATCCAGCGGCGTCAACCGCGCGCGGCACTTGCGCACCGCTGTCGCGTTCGATAAGGAAACCCGCCAGAAAGGTCCCAGCGTCAGCGGCCGCGCACGTACATGGGCAGCGCTCGCGCGCGTCGTGGCCCCATGGGGACCTCCACCGAAAGCTCCAGAAGCGGCGGCCGCGCGCGGCACCTGCAGAACTCTCACGCAATTCGCGGCTCGACGGCGGACCCCGCCGAAGGCCCTAGCGGCAGCGGCTGGGCGCGGCATATTTGCGCAACGGTCACGCGTGTCCTGGCTCCGCAGGAAGTCCAGGTGAAAGCCCCGACCCCGCTGGCACCGCTCGCGCGGCGGCCCTCGTTCATTTCGGCGCAACCCTGTCATGCGCTGCCTGGCCCCCAAAGAAATTCCACCAGAAACTGCGATCACAACTGCAGATGGGCGGGCCCTTCGCCAATAATGTGTTGGACGCGCACGGGCGACGCCAGACCCCGCGCCGCGCTAATTCATGGCGCGCCCCGAAGGCGAGAGACCAAAAAAAAACCGAACCGCGGAAGCCGATCCCGCGCGCCGCTGCCGATCCCGACCGCGGAAGCCGATCCCGGCTGCCATGACAATCGGCTTCCCCGGCAAGGCACTCACTGCGTGCCGCAAGCACCGCTTGCGCTTAAACGCTTACACTTCTAACATAATGCCATTAAACTTACGTGTGTCGAATCTATGTTGTGGTTCACCGATGTCCGTGTCCTATTTTACGGCGACTTTGAAATTATCCAACGTACCAACACCTCTCCCTATTACCATCGTTTTGATCACCACCATCAGCATCACCATCAGCAGCATCAACATCACCATCGTCATAATCATCAGCAGCATCAGGTTCCACATCATCATTGTCAGCATCATCAGTATCGCCATCATTATCTTCATCATCATCAGCAGCACCATCAGTCCCATCATCATCACCATCAGACTGACCATCCTTATTACCACCACAATCCTCATCAACGCCATCATCATCATCAGCATCATCATCACCATCATCACCATCGCCACCACCATGACCATCAACAGCAGCAGTATTAGCATCATCATTATCACCATCATCATCACCAGCATCATCAGCATCGTCATCGTCATCGTCGTCATCAGCAGCGTCAACGTCATCGTCATTGTCATCGCCGTCGTCACCGCCATCATCATCATCCTCACCACCACCATCATCACCATCACCACCATAATCATCATCACAGCATCATCATGCAGCTTGCCTCACCTCACCTGCTTGCTGCGCCTCTTGATCGGGTTGCAGTAGAAGGCAGTCACCAGCAGGAACACGTTGACGAGGAGGCACAGCTGGAAAAAGCGGCCGTTGGACTGGCTGACCGACTCGAGCACGTAGGCGTACCATACGGGGACGGCCTCGATCTTCGCTCCGGGGGAGACTCGCGCGCTCATCTGAGGCCCGAGGGCCAGGGTCCTTCCCCTGCCGATGACGTCCTTTGGGGACCCAGAGATCCTAGCGTCGCTTTTGTTTTGAAGCCCCGGGACCTTAACCTTTCCGCAGGGGTCTGAGGCTCTGGTAGATTTGGGTTAGGACGTCGCATGCTTTGCTTGTGACGTCGGATCTCAGGGCACAGCAATGGGGGAGTGAACGAATCAGCTCGCGCTCTTCTGGTTCGTGTCGTGCCCACTGTGGAGGCCTCCTAGAAGGGGTCCGCGTGGATGGGGTCGGAGGATCGGGCCGCTTCGGCGACGTGCGATGCATCGGCGCCATCGGCTTGGAGAAACTCTAGCTCCACATGAAGCCGCATCGTCGATGCGGAGTGATCCTTCGCTACCATCTACTCTGAACCCATTGGAGCGACGAACTGAACGGGGCCTCACGCACGATGGCATACCGAACTTACGCAATGACTTACGCGGGTCGCCAGCGTGGCAAACCGCGTGGCTCTTACGCGCGACCTCACGCGGGAAGCTTGCGCGCCAATGCCGGCGCGGATGACCTAGAGACTTGCGCGTTGGCTCCCCTCTAGCGCAGATCGCTCGGTACCGGCCTGCTTTGAGCATCCTCCACAGGCGTCGACTGGGCCCCACTGGCCGACTTACCCCCTAGATGCGGATGTAGGCTGTTCCCTTGGAGTGTCGAAGGGACAACCCCCAACTGGGGTGTTGGAATGGTGGGGATCGGGATGAGAATAGGCATGGGGATTGGGATAGGTTAAACGCTGCTGCTGTTTGAGGATGCTCTTCTTGGCGTCGCACCGCCACCGCCTTGGTGTGATGACCAACACACACTCGAGGATAACCCCCTGGCACCCGGCGAGAGACCATCCTCGCCGACCTCGCCTAACTCCTGAAGCACTTGTGGGAGAACCATGGACACCGATACCGCTACGTAATCAGCCGAACTCTGTAGTCCCAGGGGAGGTCCCGCCTTCAGGATCGGCGGCACCGACCGTAAGGCCTGACAATCGGGCTCCGCTTCGAGCCGCATCTCCGATCATCGGCGATGCGGCGGGATCCTCCAACCCTATCTGCTCGGAGCCCCATTTAAACGACGAGAAGAGACGGGCCTTCCACAAGATGACATAGCGACCGTACGCCGCGGCTACGCGGGCCGACAGCATGCCACATGGAAACAAGAGCGCTCACGCGCGACCTGACGCAGAACCTTTCCGCGAAAGTGTCGTCGCAATTGAACACGTGTGCTTCCGTCACCCATAAACATGTATGGCAGGGGGTCTTCTTCGCAGACACTACAGACAAAGCCATCCAGATGCTTAGAGAGTTACCCCTAAAAAACCGAGGACCTAGGTTTGGCCACGAGTCCACTGTGTTCTCAGCGATTGGGAGTTTATAAAACTTCGCTTCGGTCGGAAGAAGTAGGTTGAAGCATGCATTAAGAAGGCGGATAAAGTAGATTGAGTCCAGGCCCTCCTAGAGAATAACAAAGCACAGCATAAACATCTCGATCCTTGAAGCAGGAAGGCGCTGGAAGTAGACTGGGATCTTGGAATCCCAGAACACCTGCCTCCAACGACCGACGTGTATGCTCGACGCCTCTCTGCGAGGGCAGGGCCCACAGCCGGCGCCGGGTCCTGCTCGGACATGGGCATGCTGACGGCCGCCTCGCCCGCGTCCTCAGCCTCCTGCGCCCCGCCGCTGGCCGCGCCGGCCTCGCGCAAGACAAGGCCGGGACGGCGACAACTCCGGATCAGGACGCATCGAGAGCCTCTGAGAGCCCGCGGCCCCCTGGACCCTGGAGGCTACCTCGGGCGCCGCGGCCTTCTCAGAGAGTCTCTGAGATCCCGCGGCTCTGGACTCTGCAGGCTGCCTCGGGCGCCGCGGCCTTCCCAGATCGTTCCAAGACGCTCTGAGAGCGCTCCGGAACTCTCTGGAACGGACCCAGACATGCGACGTCCTGACTCTTTCAACACGGAGTCCCTGGAAGTGCCGACCCCTTCCCCGGGACCGGCTTTTCACCCTCGAGCTGTTTTTTTGACGGCCCCGAGGCCCCCGAGGCCGAAAATGGCCAAAAACCGCCCGTCCTGATTTTTTAGACGACGCGACCATGGGAACGCAGTGGAACGGACTCATCCTCGCCCTTTCGCCCCGCCCGATCGCGACTCGGCGCCTCGGCCTGGCCCTCGGGCGACACCTTTGCGCCCAGCTGCGGGCCGAGGCCCAGGGCGGGGCCCTCGCCCACCGCCGGGGAGAGCTGGATCGTGACCACCTCGCCGCCCGCCTCCTCGGCACGAGCCCGGGTCGGCGGCGCATTGGAGGCTTGGAAGTGCGCACCAACACCAACTCGGGGGGGGGGCCCTCCACCAGGGGACAAGCTGATCCTGGACTGTGGCGCTGCTGGCCATATTTCCCCACTCAGAGCTTGCCTCTGTAGGGGTCCTAGCGGATCCATATGTTTAGGTGAGGTTTGTCACCGATTTCCGCGGCCCGCTCGGGTGCCCGGGTGCCCAAATGCCCGGGTGCCCGGGTGCCATGGTGCCCGGATACCCGGGTGCCTTTAGCCCTGTAGCCCTTATAGCCCTATAGCCTACAAGCCCCACAGCCCTATAGTCCTATAGCTCTAATAGCCCTATAGCCCGCCTATAGCCCTCTTGCCTTATAGCCCTATCGCTCTAGAGCCCTATAGCTCTATATCCCTATAGCTCGATGAATATCCCTATAGCTCTATAGCCATATAGCCCTATAACCCTATAGCACTAAAGCCCTACAGTACTACAGCCACAAACTCTATAGCTTCATAGCCCTACAGTCCTATATTCCAATAGCCCAATAGCCAAATAGCCCAATGACTCTATAGCGTTATATCCCTGTAGCCCTACAACGCTATAGCAATATAGCCTTATGGCCTTGTAGCCCTATAGCCCTATAGCCCTATAGTTCTATATGCCTCTAGCCATGTAGCCCTGTAGCCCCATAGCCCTATAGCCCTATATCCCTATAGCCCTATGGTCCCATAGCCCTAGAGTCCCATAGCCCTCTAGACTCATAGCCCCATGGCCCTATAGCTCTATAGCCCTAATAGTCCCATAGCCTCATAGCCCTATAGCCCTACAGCCCTATAACCTTATCGCCCTATAGCCCCATAGCCCTACAGACATATGGCCCTATGGCCCTATAGACCTATAGCCCCATCGCACTATAGCCTCGACGCCCTATAGCCCGATAGCCCCATAGCCCTGAAAAGACTTTGATTGCGGCGTTTCTCCAGTATCATTCGACCAGCCAGAGGCCCGAATACTACCACCGTCGCCGAGATCGGGATCAATCCTGCCTCGGTGGGGGCACACCAGCGATGGTGGTGCTGGTCTCAACCGCTAGGCCTCCGAGCGGAGAGAAGGGCCTGGGCGTGCTCTCGCGCCGTGGGGAGGCTTCTGGCCGCCTCTTCTGGGAAGGCTGTCCGGGTCCCTGGGGCCGCCGGGAGAAAGCGGCGCTCGGGAGGAAAAGCTGGCCCTGGGGAGAGGGTCGGAACTCTACTGGGGGCCGCGTCTTGAAAAAGAGCAGGGCGTCAGGTGGCTTGGGGCCTGGGAGAAATGGGGGGGGCAATGCTCGGCGGCGAACGACAGGGGAAATGAGAAGGAGACGGCCTTCTCGGGAGGCTCGGAAGTCCCCTGGCCTTCTGAGAAATTTCAAAAGCCGTCCACGAAGACACAGACAGCTTCTCAGAAGACCAGAGGGCTTCTGAGCCCCGCCGCCTTCTGAGGAGGCCTTCTCCTTCTCACTTCCCCCCCTCGCTCGCCGCCGCCACAGCATGCGCTGCGGTCGCCATAGCAACGCGCGAGCAGCACAAGAGAGGGGGTCCAATCACCCTCCCCCATATGTACGATCGTTTTTGTTTCCGGGGGGGCAAGTAACGGCCGTTACGCGCCAAAGGCATCTCCAGTGCCCGCTCGCTACTAAACCCGCGGCGACGCCGACAACGAACTATGCTCAAAGTGAGCAGACAAGAAGGCTGGCTGCAAGGTGCCGGAGTAGATGAGGTCGGAGGATCATCGCCGATGTAGCGCCGATGCATCGGCGACGTCGGCAATGATAAAGTACAGCTCCAGAACCAGCCGCGTGCCGATGCATCGGCGATGCGGCGGGCGGTCGATCTGGGCCCCCCCAGATACCAGTTCTGGGAGGGCTGCTCCAACCCAGTCTGGGAGGCCTTTAAAGAATTGCTGCCGGCCCTTCCCAAATCTCCCCGCTCGGGACCAGGCCCGACTCCCTGCTCGCTCCCTCGGAAACGATGCCGCCACCGACCCCTTCCGTGACGGGTCCCTCGAGGCATCCCATCTGGCCTCCAGGCCCCGCCCTGACGCGAGGCAAGGGGGGGGGCGTCACACTGTCCTGACATGCGCCGGTCTGATTATTCAATGCGCGGCCCCGAAGAGGTCCCGACCGCTGCTCGAGAGCCAGTGCTTCGCTCCAAACTCGTTCTTGACATTGTCCGGGGCCAACCAGCGAGCCCCCGGGCCCCAGGGGCCAGAATCGAGGAGCAGCGTGCGGACTGAAGCGCGCCATCGCTCGGACGTCCACTCCCCGCGTATGTTTCGGGGTTGCGCGCCTACGTTTCGCAAGAGGATCCAGGATGCTCCTTGATGGCCCACGCCGAGAAAAGATGCACACGCCCGAGCGATGTCAAGGAACGAGACACATCGTCGGACGTCTGAGTGCCAAGGGTCGGTCAGGCCGCCCCGCTGAGCCTCCTGCTCATCGCCCTCGGCGGCATGCTGCCACGCCGCGGGGGGAACTAACAGGTATGCCAATGCCGCTGCTCCCCAGACCTCTCCCAACGCTCGTTCTGACCAGAATCTCGAGAAGAGTCCAGCCGTGGCGACGAACACTCTCCAGGACGAGTAGCGGCAAGACGTGTAATGGCAAATACCGCACCTTGAGCCGGGACCGGCATTTCTAGAGGCACTGCAGGACATATTAGAAAGACCCCCCAAGAAACGTCTGGGTAGCACAAGCCATGTTATTACAACACAAGCTCCGTCTTAACCCAAGGTTGCATCAGCCAGAAATATTCTAAGATCATGCCGGGCAGACCACAAAAAGTCGGCTACACGCAAGAGTAACCCTAGGCAAGAGTGACCTTTGGCGCGCGGCTTGAAGGGGGGGCGCAGGGGGGCTAAACCTGGGCGCGCAAGCTGCTGCCACCGCTTCGCGCTCATCGATCGGGGGACCCCATTGGGCCCGCAAAAGTAACTCCGGCGAAGGGTCTCTTTCACGTCTAATTTGAAGTCGGACCTGTCCCCCCACAGGGTGATTTTGGAGGAACAAATAATGAGGAATACTCCACACTTGTCAAAACAAAATTATCATAAAGTCCCCCGACTATCTTTAAACTATGTTTGAATATTCCTCCTGTGAGGGGCAGGCCCGACTTAAGTGTAATCGACCCATGTCATTTGAGCACTACCTGGCGAGCGTGTAAGCATGTCAGGCGTCGGAGACGGCGGCGGGGTGATGACCCCAGAGAACTCGGCTGGGAGCGGGGATACGAAGCCGACTCTGCAGAAGAACTCTCCCCGCGGACCCCTCCCGGAAGCCATCGATGGTGTAAACTCACTCGCCCTGGGCCCGTTTCTGACTGCCCCTGGCCCCGAACACAGCTCCCGGCGGCAGCAGAAGGCAAAAGAAACACCTGCCCGAACCCAGATCCTCGAAACCTGCCCTCCCGGGGCCACCTCACATCCCCCGGCGGCTCCAAAGTCAGGATGCTTCGCCACTGTTTGAGCGTTAGAGGCCTCCTAGATGGGGTCGGAGTAGATGGGATCGGAGAATCGCGCCACATCGCCGATACGTCGGCGATACATCGCCGATGCGTCGGCGACGCATCGGCGACATCGGCGATGCATTGGCGACGCAAGCGTGGAGAACATCGGGCTCCGCATCGAGACGCATCGCTGATGCATCGACAAATGCGACAAGTACTCCGCCCCCACCTAGGAGGCCCAGAGTGCCAAGGGTGGGTCAGGCCGCCCCGCTGAGCCTCCTGCTCATCGCCCTCGGCGGTCTGCTGCCACGCCGCGGGGCTGGCCTTGGGGGGAACTAACAGGTATGCCAATGCCGCTGCTCCCCAGACCTCTCCCAACACTCGTTCTGACCAGAATCTCGAGGAGAGTCCAGCCGTGGCGACGAACACTCTCCAGCTCGCCATCGCTCGGACGTCCATTCCCCTTCATTGTTCGGTTTCGATCCCCTGAGATCCGATGCCTCGAACAAATGCGAACAATCACGACCCGAGCCCCAGACCCCATCTCCCTCCGCCATTAGCTTCGAGCCGCGAGGATCCCGAGGCCCGACGCCGGGCGCAAACGCCCGACTCGAACACCCAGAGCCGCCAGGGCCTCTGGGCAAGTCTCGGCTCCTCCTCCGTCGACTGGGCGCAAGGAGTGACCTCTTGTTGCGGGCACAGATGGGTCCCCAGACTAGGGGGCCACATGCGAACCCTACCCCACCCTCCCCCTCGGAAATCGTGAGAGGGTAGGGGTAGGGTTCGCACGTGGCCCCCTGCAGATGGCTGAAAACGGAGCAGTGGCAGCCGGTTGCGCGCCCAGGTTTGGTCCCCCGCGGCCCCAAGGAAGCCGCGCACCAAAGGTCACTCCTACGCAGGGTCAGTATTGCATATACTCCAGATTTCGTAATAAAGGGAGGGGGGTCTCATTTCGGGGGGGGGTCTCTTCCAGGCTATCTTGGAGGGCCTGGGGGGTCTGGGGACGATGTTTTGGAGGGTTCTCCCACGGGGGAGGTCTGAAATGGCTTGTCTCGGAGGGTCCAGACCCCCTCCCTTTTATCATGAAATCTGGAGTAGCCGACTCCGAGGCCTCGGGGCCCGGGCCCTTCCGGCGCGCGAGCTCCGCCGCGGGGGGGCGCGGCGAGACGCCCGCCGTCCACACGAAGGAGCCGACCTGCAGCCCCAGGCCGCGGCGCAGGCCGCCGCCCTCCTCGGGGTCGCGCGGCCTGCAGTGTGGAGGGGGCCTTCCGGCCGGGGCTTCGGAGGTCTCCGTCGGTTCTCTGGGCCAAGAGGCAGGAGTGGAGGGGCCCAGGGACACAGAAAGAAATGCACACACACAAATCCCAAGATTCCCCACCTGTTCCAGCTCTTTCCTTGATTTTCGTCTTCCCCCTCACTTCCCATGACCGATTCGACGATTCTCGTAATGTCCTGACCTGATCCAATGTAATATGAATCGACGATTCTTTGTGTCTGTGTGTCTTTCCCCTCCTTAAAGAAAGAGTGACCCTGGGCAAGAGTGACCGTTGGTGCGCAACTTTCCGGGGCCGCGGGGAGGCCGAACCCGAGCGCGCAAGACGCTGCTGTATCGATCGCATCGCGCCCATGCCCGCACCAAATGTCAGTCTGGCGAAAAGTCACTCTTACGTATAGCCGATCCCTGGCGGTTTCCCAGCCCCCTGGCGCGTTGCAGCAGCCGCGCCTCGCCGAGAGCGTTCCGGGGATGCCCAGGCTTGGCAGTTTCGCGGGCAATTCCGCCCAGGCCGTTGCAATCTCTTCACAACGGGCAGCTTCGCCCAGGGGCCCTCGCAGATCAATGCGGCGCTGCTGCTGGAAAGATGGCGCGGGAAGGTAGGGTCCTGGGCTCCGGCCGTGCTGTGCCCGATGTTGCAAGTTTGTTTGCAGCGTCAGATCTCGGGGGGGCTGCGGGGATCGCGCCGCATCGCCAGCGCGTCGGCGATCGACGATGTACCGGAGAGGGTCGGCGATGCATCGGCGAAGACTGTGCGGAGGAGCTCGGGCTCTGCTCAGAAACGCGTCGCCGACGCATCGGCGACCCGGCGCGAGCCCTCGACCCCATCTACTCCGACCCCACTTGGAAGGCCTGAAGCCTGGACACCTCCTTGGGTGCAGCCAGCGCGACCGGCAGCAGCACGGCCAGCACCAGCGGCGCCATCGTCCGATTGAGCATGCCTGCTGGGGGCTTCGCCCCAGCACTTTCTTTCGCTTCACGGACTAGAGACACCCACACGTAACATCAGTGCCTGAGACCGTGTTCTCAGACTCGAGCCGCAGCGGTTTCGGCGGGGGCATCATGGACGGCAAAAGGTGCCTGGGACGGCGGCGCTCAAGAAGGAGGGGCTGATGCAACGGCCGACGCCGGCTCCTAAGCCGGAGCGCAACGGCAAGCAGACATGGCTTCGCCGAGAAGGGCGAAGAAGAAAACTGCCCCGGTGCCATGCAGAGCAGCGCCAGCTGGGGAGGAAACGGGGCAGGTCCCCGAAGTTGAAACTCCCCTATTCAATCTCCTCACACAATTTCCCTTGTCTTTTTTTTCCGACACGCCCTCATCATCCCAAATGGCAATGGCATGATTGCTCGGAGCCCTGCGATCATCGTCACCAATACTCCTCTGCACGCCTTCGCCCTCGCACCTGCAAGACCACCCGCGTGAAATCCGCAAGCCGAACACGTGCGGACGAATCACCAAATGTGCGCACAGTGCCAGAGAAACAAAGGACATATGATATCCCAATGTGTAATCATGTTCAATGCATGCGTATATTTGTATATATAACAGATTATTTACATATATTCATACATGTGCGCGGTGATCAGCTGCCAGGCGGGTCGCGCGTGCAACATAATCGGATATCCAGGCAATACCACACAGCCTTAAACAGTAAGGCAATCTGGCTCCCCGAAAGATCTAATATTCCACATGTTGGCCGCACCACTTCAATGTGTGCTTGCCGAAGTACGCCCCTCCACCAGACAATTCCCGTGGGCAGTGTGTCTGGATGGGCTGGTGGGGATACTTTTTGTTCGCGGGCGCAAGCGGAAAAGCCGCGCGCCGTCAGGGAAGTGCCGAGTAGCAAAGACCTAAATTACAACGGCCTCACACGCGACCGCAAGCGTGCAGCTAACAAGCAGTGGAAAATGCAGACTCAGCGGCGGGGCAGGCTCAACCGCAGTTCAGACGAAGCAAGCGAAAATGACCACCGGGCCCGACTGGTGGTGGCGACGGCGCCCACGTTGCAGTAGCGTCACTCCCGGATTACCTTTCCTCGGCGTTGGGTCTGCTTGTGCCGAATGCAGAGCCAACACCCCGCTGCAGTCGTAAGGCACGGTGCCGCGTGACCACATCCAACTGAGCGAACGGGCCGTCGGGGAAGGCGTGAACCATCCTTGGGGAGAGAACCTGCATCTCGCAGGCGCCCAGCCGGCGGGGCGTTCTGGGCAAACGAGCGGCGCACCACGGGCAAGTCATGGCCCCCGAACGGATCCAGCGGAGGCGGAGAGCGACGGGGGCCAAGGACACGGTCGCACTGTGGGTGGGCCCGAACACCTCCTGCGGGGGGACAACCGCAGGGGACTGGACGGCCTGGACCAGGGTACCTGCTGGCACCAGCCCCAGCGCCACGGGGGGGGCGCCGGGGGCCGAGGAGGTGTGCTAGCGGAGGCGGGGAGCGACGGGGGCAAAGGTCGCACTATGGGTGGAGGGCGCAGCTAACAGCCACAGAAATAGTGAAGACAGTGGGTGGGCCCGGGCACCTCCTGCAGGGACAGCCGCAGGAGGAAAGACGGGCCGCACGGACTAGGAAAGCGGCTGACCACCGCGAAAGCCTGGGATCACAGTGGGTGGGCCCGGGCATCTCCTGCGGGGGGACAGCCGCAGGAGGGACGGGCGTAGACGGACCAGGAAAACGACGGACCGCCGCGAAAGCCTGGGCCCATGAGGCGAAGGTGCGTGGGGGACGGGGGCGTGGGGGCGGAAAGAGGGCGGGTGTGGGGATGCAGCTTAACAGCCGCAGAAACCGTGAAGAGCATGTGAGGACCGACGTCGAGGGGTGCGTGGGAATCTGGGCCACCGCGCTGCTCCAAGGGAGTCTTGTGCCGACGAATCGCGATCTGGAGTTCAACTGATACAGCGATGCAATGCTGCAGCGATATGGCGGGTTCTGAAAACCCTGAACCAAAAGACATATGGCCATCCCCAGGGAGGCCGACGACTACTTCCAGCAGAAGCCCACCTCGTTTTACTTCCGTCGACTTCAGCCGCTCTTCCGCCGCCATCTGCCGAGGAATACACCCTGCGAAATGCTTAAGAAATCATGGGTTAAGAAAATCAGAATCTCAGAATTTGAAAAGAAACCCAGAACTTCTATCAAAATCTTAGGACTTACATTGAAACATTAAGAATAATCGAGACTCTGGCCGAGAACTTTGGTTTTCTTAAGCATCGCCTAAGGTGTAGGTGCCAACTCCTTCGATCACCAAAGGCAGCGCCGAAGGAATGGGTCAAAACAGCGCTGCTGCCGCAGAGCCCCGTGCCGCTGCACCGCGACAGCGCTGCGGCGCCGCGGGGCCGCGCAAAGGCGACACGGCGGTGCAGTGCTGCGGCGCATGCCCGTCCAGCGCGCGGCTCTCTGGAGAGCCCCGCGCCGCGGCAGCGCGGGAGGTCTGCAATGCAGATGTTGGAAAAATTCGCCGGCCCAACGGGCCAGGACGTGCTAAGATCTCCGGTAACTGGTTAACAGTATTAACAGTATTTCTAGTTCGCGCGCGCGGGGCGGCCCCTGGGGGTCCCCCGGCGAAAAGTACCCCGACCAACGCCCGGTCGCCGCCCGACCAAGTCTACTCAGAGATGGTTTTCCTTCTGGGTGCGGCCTCTCAGGCTCCCCAGAGCGCGCTCAGAGTGCCCCAAGAGGCCCCCAAGACTGCCCAAGAGGCCCCCGAGACGCCCAAAGAGCGCTCGAAGACGCCGAAGATGACCCCAAGACGGCCCAAAAGGCCCCCAAGACAGCCCAAGAGGCCTCCAAGACGCCCCAAGAGCCTTCCAAGAGGCCTCCGAAGAGAGCCCCAAGAGGCCAAAATCGTTGATTTTCATTGGTTTTTTCGATGTTTTTTGTGTTCTGGCTTTTTCGGCTTCCGGACGCTCCAAGACGGCCCAAGAGGCCCCCAAGACCGCTCCAAGACGGCCCACGAAGCTCCCAAGACGGCGCCGAAACGACCCAAGAGAGCCCTCAAGACGGCCCAAGTGCCGCCCAAGACGGACCAAGAGGCCCCAAGACGGGCCCAAGAGGGACTCAGGAGGGATACCGAGAACTCAAAAATGGAGCCCTCCGTCCCAGAAGGCGCCCAGGAGGTCCCAAAGAGGCCCCAAGAGGCCTCCAAGAGGCCCCAAGATGTCGCCAAGAGGCCCCAGGAGACTCCCAGGAGGCCCAAAAGAAGCCCCAGAAGGCTTCAAACATGTCTCCCAGGCGCCCCCGAACGGCCTCTCAACAGACCCCAAGAGGCCCCCCAAAGAAGCATCTTGACGACGACTCTATTTCGCCCCATCGAGAGACGACCCCCAGGGAACTGCTTCACCATCAAAACTCCCCACGCAACGCGTCCGAACGACACCCGCCCCCAAGAGCGCAACATGGGCAACGAACACACAGACAAAAACCAGCGATGCCATATCACGGGCCGGCGGAATGAGCGAAGCGATTCAATAACAGGCACGTGAACGTGATTTCCTCGGAGCTCCGCGCGGGTCTTCTCGGATCCGCGCTGGACCCCCCCCCCCCTCCCTGGCGCGCAGAGCAGGACAGAGGCGGCACCGGAGGCACCACCAGGAGCCAAGGCGCCGATCCGAGAAAGCCGCGCGGATCTCCGAAATTACATAATGTTGCAATTTCTTTCTTGAGAGAATACGTGCTGTAGTGCTACAGCGTCGCAATGATACGGCAAGCCCGTGTCGTCGCGACCCCGGCGCTGGCTTCTGACACCACGTGGATCTTTCAACCTTGAACGATTGGCGGCTTCTTGATCGGCGCATGGCTCCTTATTGGCCGACTCTGGGCCACCAGCGTCGTTCCACATTGACCGCAGGCCGGGCATGTCCTCCTGCAGACGGATCTTGGAAGAAGAAACAAAAAGTCAAGCAGAGCACGCAAAACAAAATAAGCAAACACAACCGAACACAAAATCGACCCCACCCTATGTTTTGAATATAGTTTAAGATTCCTCCTGTAGAGGGGCATGCCTGTTGAGCAGGGACCGACCGTCCCGGCATTCCTATAGTCCTACCACGCAATGTTCGTATAACCCGGCAAAGTTCTAAAAACAAGACCAATGTTCTTAGAACATAAACCCGATGTGCGAAAATAAAACAGACTCCGCCAGAACTGTCCTAAGAACATTTCGTGGAAACCACATGCTTTCCGTTCAGTCGGGCCTGTCCCTCTGCAGGAGGAATATATTCAAAATTAGCCAAAATATAGTCTGGGGACGATTGATTGACTATTTTTGCCCATTTGGGGGGCATCTTTTGAATACTTTTTATAGGGGAACCAACTCTATACACCGACGCTTTTCCCGACCCTGCGCTGAAATTCGCACAGGAAAGCGGATCCTTGTGTATACGGGATCCTGGTGTATACATTTTTCGATGGTCCCTTGGAAAACGGGAAAGAAGTATACACCACTCCACCCAAAACGTCGCCCCCGAGGCCCCCAAAAAGTTGTGGGATTGAAACAAAACCCCCCACTGGTAATGTATATGTTCCAATTTCCGATTTTAGATTTCTTCCTGCAGAGAGGGCAGGCCCGCCTTGAACTCGGGGATCTTCTGACCCGGGTCAATCCAGACCCAGGTCAGTCGGGCCTTGCAGGAGCCTGCAAGATCCTGCACCCAAGCCCGGGTCAATGCGAAGGATCCTGCAGGAGCCTGCAGGATCCTGCACCCAAACCCGGGTCAATGCGACCCTGGCCCTGCAGGATCCTGCAAGATCGGGCGCGCTGGCGGACCCCCGCATGCATCGACCCCGTCTCGAGGCTCCCGAGGAACCTCGACCTTTCCGCGCCGGGGCCGCCGCCGCGCCCACCCGGCGCGAACCGGCCGCTCCCCAGACGAGCTGCCCCCGCGCGGAGCGCCCTCCCCGGCGGAGGCCTCCTCTTCGGGAACGCCCCCCGCGGCGGCGACTCGGCGGCGGCGAAGACGAGGGCAGAAAATCCAAGCCGATGCTATCCACCCCGACACGCGAAGCCGTTTCGTAAACGCACCCAAAGAGGGAATCAAACA